GGAATGGAATTAATACGAGAAAATGAAAAAAAGGAAACAAAATCTTTGTAAATAGGGAGGGATGGAGGGGTTGAAGGGAGGGCAGGGGAAGGGGGAAAAAATAAGAACCAAGAGAGTACGTAAAGGTGCATATTTCCAATGATGAATGTCATTATATTATATTGTACACCTAAAATGTACCAATAAAAGGATATACAGAAAAAAAACAAAACAGCATGGTATTAGCACAGAAACAGACACACATCTCAGTGGAACAGAATAGCGGATACAGAATCATTCGCAGGCATGGTCACTCATATGATCTTTGACTAAACCAAACATTTTTGCTGCAGAAAAGATAGCCTTTTAAACAAGTGGTACTGGGGAAATTAGTCATTTGGATGCAGAAAAAATGAATCTAGATTCATATCCCTTACAATATACCAAACTAAAATCAAAATGGACCAAAGATCTAAGTATTAAAGCAGAAACACTTAATCTGGTGGAAGATGAAATAGGTAAAACTCTTAAAATCGTAGCTGTAGGCAAGGAACAGAACCCCAGTTACACAAGAAATAACATCAAGAATCAGCAAATGGGACTGTATCAAATAACTTTAAAAGCTTCTACACAGAAAAAAAAACAACCAACACAGTGATGAGACAACCTACAGAATGGCAAAAATTTTTTGATGACTAGTCCTCAAATAGAGAGCTAATATCTAGAATTTTTAGAAAAGTAAAAAATTAGAGCCCCTAAAATAAAAGGCTCAATGAAAAAATGGACAATTGAAATGCATAGATATTTCTTGGAAGGAAAAAATACAAATGGCCAATAAATATATGGAAAAATTTCAACTTCTCTGGCCATTAGAATAATACAAGCTAAAAGAGCACTGAGATTACATCTTACTCCAAAAAGAATGACTATCCTCAAGAAATCAAATAATAACTATTGCTAAAGAGACTATGAGGAAAAAGCAACCTTCCCATATTTTGGTGAAAATATAAAGTAGTACAGACACTATGAAAATTAGTATGATAATTTCTCAAAAACCTAAAAATAGAAATTCCATTCAACCAGTTGTTCCCTCCTAGCTGTCTTCCTGAAAGGGTTAAAGACATCATGTTACAGTAATACATGCATACCTATGTTTATAACAGCACAACCCATAATTGGTAAATCTTAAAAGTGGCCTATATGCACATCAACAGATGACTAGATAAAGAGAATGTGGTATTTATACATAATAGAGTACTACTCTGCCATAAAGAAGGATAAATTTGAGTCATATGAAAATAGATGTATCTTGAGATCATAACTTTAAGAGAAATAAATCAGATACATAAGCTTAAATATAATTTTCCCCTTATATGGAAAACCCAAAGTATAAATAAAGAGCAAAATGAAATATAGATGATAGGAAATAGGGAGACAGAGGATTTGCAAATGGAAAGGGGGCAAAGAGATGGAGGGTGACAGGAAGGGAAAAGAGAAGTGAAAAGAATGAAGACCGGTTATGTACATGTACTTACTCCCCACAATGAATGTAATCATTATGTACTGCAAACATATACTAATAAATAGATAATGTATAAAGAAGATATATGTAGATAATATGCAGATATTACACCATTTTATACAAGGGACTTGAGAATCTGTACAGTTTGATGTTCTGGGCACAGTGGGTGGAAACTAGAACCAATCTTCTGAGGATACCAAAGAATGACTATACCCAGGTTTGCCTTATATTTGGAGGTTGCTGTTTTTTTCCCCCGGTACTGGGGATCAAACTCAGGACCTTGCACTTGCGAGGCAGTGTGGGGCCACTAAGCTAAATCCGTGGCCTAATTTGAAGTATTTTTAAGCATCTTTATCCTGAAAGCAATTTGAAAGTGACTATTTCAGATCCAGACTAAAAACTTAAATCTCTACAGGGTGGATAGGTAGCCTATGTAAGTGAAGGAAGCTGAGCAGCATCAATAGGGGTGAGGGGCGGGGGAGACTGTGACAAACTAGAGAGTGCATATCACTAAAAGGCAGCTGCTACTCTACTCTGGAAAGTTGTTGCTCTGGAAAAAGGAGAGCCCAGTGTTGCCATATCTGCTGATCTTCAAGAGAAATTAGGGGGCAAAACAAAACAAATTTGTTTAAAAGCTAATGTCTCTCAATTATTAAACAGCACCAACAAATTCAGTTTATTTTAAAATATTGTATGTGCTCAGAAAGCACATCAATGACCTGGATTAGGCTTCTGGATCACCAATCAGCCCTGGTTTAGAAAGTACTCAAAAATATAATTGCTTTTTGTTCTTTAGTGGGATCACACGTTCCGTGAAAGTAGGAGCTATTTCTGCCTTTTGGTTTCCCTGTAATCATTTGATCCCCAATCCTCAGCCCAGGGCCTGGTGTATTTGGCATCCAAATATTGCAGGACAACTAACGGGGTCACTGCCATCTAGATCTCTCTGATTACAGCAGAGTAAGGCCAGAATCTCAAACAAATAAATTTATCCTTTGCTTTGATACCCTAGGGAGGTGGTCCTAATTCTTCAGAGACAGCTGGTACTAGGAAAGTGGTGAGGCTAGAAATATGAAGAGACCACTCCTGGGTAGGCATGCCACACATCTGCATCTGTCTGAGCACTGCAGGACAGGTCCTGCTCCACTGGCCAGAGGCACCTGCTGCATTTCCCTTCCCCTTTAAGAAACAAGTTACTTCTGGTTTAGGCCAGGAAACCCCCATCACCATGATTTCCACTCCAGGGTGATAGAAGCCTTCTCAGGCTAAGGAGGGAATATTGGCACCAACTTTTGGGTGACCATATCCAAACAGCTCTGTCTGTTTCAGCGGACACCCCAAGATGACAAAGACAAGTTTTCCCATACCATGAAAGGAACAATTGAACCAACTCTGCAAGTCTTGCAAAGGAGATCATTGAATGAGTCTGTGGACCACAACCCACCTTGACCTACTCAAAGGTCAAAAGAGTTAAAATTGTAAATTAGGGAGAAATTGTCTTTGCAAGAGTATTCAATGGGTGGTGGGGCCTCTTAGAAGGGGTATTTTCCTTTCACCTAAGTCTAGTCAGAGGGACTCCATGGAGACATCTGGGGGGCCTCCCTTGCACATCTGGAGTTTGGATGACTTAGTGGATGGACTGTGCTGAGAAACTTACAGCCTCTCTATAATGGTGCCTCTCCGTAAATGAGACAAGCTGTGCTCATGGACCAGAAGAGGAAGGCCTGTCCCTTACATTAGGGACAAAGAAGTGCAAATATCTCCAGTGGATCAGATGTGAGCCATAGAAGAAAAGGACTTTGTAGAACCACTTAAATGCTGCCTAAGATATCTGGGTGGGGAGACATGAGGACTCCAACCTGGGGTGTGGTATTAGACCTGGATTCCTAAGAACAGAAGGAGGCATAAATGGCCCCTGGAAAAATGTATTTCATGTGCTACAAGATGCACAGTTGAATATTTGCAATGCAGACCCTAAAGAACCCACAGATGCATCCTCAGACATGAAGCCAGCCTTGTTCACCTACTAACTTTCTTTGGTCAGAAATAATGAACTCATTGGATGAAAACCAGTCATGCCAGGCCTCTCCCAGCCCTCATTTCTCCTTCTTTCCCCATTTGACCCAAAGAGTCAGAAAGATTAGATAGCAATCTGTGGCAGGGCACAGAGTGGAAAACAGAAAAGAAGCTTCCTATTCTTGATTCTCCACCCAACCCAGTGTAGATGTGCACGCATTTCACACACACACACTCACACACACATATTACTGTCTCTACTATACTAACCACAGCAGGAATGGAAGTGGGGACAGAATATTCAACCTTGAATAAAGTTAGAGACTTTTTATTTCTTAAACATGGCATCAGATTGGATATATTCATTTCCGAAATGATAATATTGTTGTAGCTAAAAATGATCAATGGATTTTTAATTCTTAAGAATGAGCTGGTAACTATGTTTCATCAAAATGCAGAGGAGACATTATCCCCAGGGCCATAAAGAGGAAATAATAAGATTATAAAAGTGGCAACTTTTTATATACAAGAAGAGTGAAGGAGAGTCTGAGAAATAGGATGCCTGAGGCATCAGAAGCGTAAGAGCAGCGGGAAGAGCAGGTAGGCTGACATGGCCAAGGCAGCATGGAGGGACGTGATGGCAGAAGGTGTGGAGAAGAGAGAGCCAGTGGAAAGATGCGGCAAGCTGCTCTGAAGTGAATTCATTATTCTTCCTGAGAAAGAAAGCATTTGGGAAAGCAAGAGATATGCTCAGTCGGGGCCTTTCACACCATGAACCTTAGTGATGGTGAGACAGAGCCTGGAAGCCCTTTGGAGCTTATTACAATACAACATCCCTTATCCAAGTTTTAACTTGCCAAAGTTTCTGATATATGCAGTCACCTTCAGTTGGAATATATTAAAAGGAAAATTTCAGAGGTCTAAACAATACATAAGTCTAAAATTTCATGTCATTCTGAGTGGTGTGATGACTTGTGCTGTCTTAGGTGTTGTACCAGAGAGGTGAACCATTTCTTTGTCCAGCATGGCCACGCTGTATACACTACCCACTCATTAGTCACTAGGAAGCCATCTACCTTATCAGGTCAACTGTTGTAATATCATAGTGCTTGTGTTTACAAAACTCTTATTTTACTAAATAATGGCCCCAAAGAACAAAAGTAGTGAAGCAAAGGTGGCACCAGGACAAAAAAGCATGGAAGGACAGATTAACTCCGCTATTGTGTGGCAGCACTGTTGACCATATAGGAAAAATCACAGTACACATAAAGAATGGCACTATCTGGGGCTTCAGGCAAACACTGGGAGTTTTGGAATGCATCCCCTGTGAGTAAGTGGCTGTGACCACTGCAGTCCAAATGAAAGAGGAAGCCTTGAAGTGTGACAGCTTCAGTTGGGATAGCAAGAATATGGACCTGGGAACCTCTCAGGAGGCACAATTGATAGGGGCCAGCCATCTGTGAATGGGAAGAATAGAATAATGGCATAAGTCAAAGATGGCAATTTCTTGGAGCCTGAGCAATGGGGAAGTGAACAGTGCTAGTAACCTAGACATGAAACAGAAAAGGAGAAGGAATTTGGGAGAAACATAATGAGTGCAGTTTCAGGTGTGTTGGGTTTAAGGTGCTATTGGCAGGACATTCTTAGAAGATATATACAGTGCGGCTGAAAATTCAGATCTCGGAAATCCAGAGAGGTCAAGTCTATGACCTAGGGTGTTCTCTATGAAACCAGTATCCTCCTACTGTGGGTAGCGCCAACACAAGACATTCATCTACAGTTGGAAAATTCTCTCAATTATTTTTAGCACATCTTAGAAGTAGAGGAGAAAAATGGATCTCCTTTAACATTTTCATTATGTTCACTCTAAAATTATACTCTCCTGATTTCCAAGGACTTCCAGTGCCTGGTGTTGATATATAACCACATAACTTCACCCTCTGTATATAATGCTGAATTACTTACACCTCTTCCAGGGCTCACTTCTGACATGGGATGTCAAACAGAAATAGAACATGCATCTCTTGCATCTGGGGCTGAAACCTTGCAGAGAATTCTATGGGCTGCAATAAATAATTGCTAAGTTCCTGGAAAGGAGCTCTGTGCACAGACAATGTAGGGTCACTGCAGATTTATGGCTGTATCTTCAAGGCAGCAGGCTATCCACATCCCAGGAGCCTGCAGATGAGTGGGAGGTCCAGGGGATCCATGCTACAAAAAGACAGCTTGTCCTAGGACTGTGACACCTGGGCATCTCAAGAGCCATGGGACAGATGCTCCCATTTGCTAGCCTTTGTGACTGCTGCCCTCACTGCTGGAGAAAGAACTTGAGGTTTATTGAAATCTGAGTGCATTGGTGAACAGCCATTCAAATCTGATACCAAGTGCACTGAGACAAATTTCTATTATTGCAAATAAAAATTTTCTGGGCTGCTCAGCATACCCAGGGGTTGGCCTGGGAAGGACTTTACCCTGAGTGAAAAATACCTTTCTGGCCCCTTCCTACCCACTCATTTTTTTCTCATTTCCCACTGCTTTCATCTATCCCTTGGCTTCCTCTCTCTCTGTATCTCCCTCCTGTTATTTTCCTAAGAAAACCTCCTTCTTGCTCCTAGTTTTAGCATAACTACTTTACTTCTCAGCTCTTAGTTTTCTAACTTGCACAATGAAGGTGTCAGATCAAGTGTTTCCCAAACTTTAATATATAAATGACTCATCTGAAGATGTTAAATCACAGATTCTGCATAATAAGTCTGGAGTGGAACCCAATATTCTGCAGTTCTAATAAGATTACAGTGATTTCAACGTGAACCACACTTTACATAGGAAAAGAATCATAGGTGACAAAGAAACTTTACCAGCTAGGCTACCCCCAACTATGTTGGAAGTATTAGGGATGGGGTCAGGGAAGACAACAGATGTGGTAAATGTGGTAACCACATTAATACCTGTCTTTAAAAGAATAGATAATTCTTATGTTCTAAAACTTTTGTTCTCTTAACAAGAAGCATATCTCAAAAGCTGTCCAAGGATGAAAGAGTCTAATGAAATCATTGCCTCCATGTTAATCAGGGAAGCTGGGTGAAAATATTTAAAAATCACAGACAACAGAAATATATATAAAAATAAGCATCAGTGAAGTACAGGATCAGAAAAAATTATAGATGTTAGCAAAACAAAATGTTGGTTTATAGCAAAGGTGAGTAAGATACAACTTTAAAGAGTGGTCAAGGAACAAAAAGAGAGAAGATGCAAATAAGCACAATGGAGAATATAAAAAGATAACTACAGAATAGATGAAATGCTAATAATCTTAAGGAATATTATGAACAAGTCAATATCAGCAAATTTTGAAACCCAGACAGGAGATGAATTCATTTCAAGTGCAAAAATACCTAACAAAATAGACAGCTTATTTATGCTAATAATACTTAAGACATTTAGAAAATAATAAGCCTTCCATCCAAACTTTGCACTCACATGAAAGGAGAACCAGAAAGTCTTACCTAACCTTTGTGCTAGGGATGGGGTATAGCTCAGTGGTAAAGTGTTTGCCTAGCATGCAAGAGGGCCTGGGTTTGATCCTCCACCTTGCAAATAATAATAACAAACAAACATAATTCTTATAGTATAAAAGTGTGCCCCCATTAAAAACAAAGGATAAAAAAAGAAAGCAATTTCCCTTATATGAAAAACTATACCCTTCTTAGCAAAACCAAACAAGAAAAGAAAATTATAGGCAAATTTAAAAATGAACATGAAAAGTAAAATGTAGGATTTTCAACATATGTTTCCAATATATACTTTAAAATAATTCATCAAAAACAAATCAACTTTATCCCAAATATGGGAAGATGATTGAATATTAGAACATCTATCCATGCAATTGTCAAAAATAAACAGAAAACTCAGATGATTATCTTCATAGATAATGGAAAGTATTTGACATAAGACAACACATTCTTGATAAAAACTCCTATAAATGAAGTATCTAAATTGATTAAATTTATCTATAGCAAGAAAACACATGGTGGAGACATTTTTTACAGTAGACAAATGTACCTGCTTTAACCAGTATTGTTTGCCATGATTTGGAAGCCTTTATCTAATTCAGTAAATAGAAAAGAACTAAAATTCTCAAAGAAATATGGAAAGTTACAATTATTTAAAGAGAGAATTATTTAGAAAGTTGCAATTATTTGAGCTTGTGTACATGGAAAGTTCAAAGCAATTAAATTGATTTTTTTTAAATTAATTAGAAGAGAATGAATGAAACAAGGTCAGTCATGGTGGCATTCAAGAAGCTCTCTGGAGTACAGTCTGAGAAGTTCTCCATAACCCCCTTCAGTGCAACAGTCACAACTGAAAAAATTTATAAAACAACCATCTAAAGTCTCTCAAAATTTTTCTAAAGACAAGCAAATAGAGAAAAA